CAGAGATCATGGGTGTTAAACGATGTATGGATTTGCATATGCAAATTGTGGTCACTGGGTGATTTTCTAGTGGTGTAATGATGTGCTAGAATATTGAGATGATATACTCAACTTCATATTAAGTTGGTAAACAAACCACAAAATTTAATTTTGATGATGGTTTCTTTTTGCTTACCTTGATGAGATATCTGGTAATGTCCCTTCCAGCAATATCAAGTCTCCTGGTAAGGTGAGGGAGAGAAAAGCCTTCATACACTGGGCAAATGTGAGTTACACCATCTCCAGAGTCCACCACTACACCAGTTAATAAACCTGCATGAGAACCAGGAGGATGTGAATAAAAATCCAAACCAGGAAAATCAAAGCCAGTAAATTTCATATATTAGTATAGATGTCAAACTAACAACTTAACCAATTGGACAGGTCGAGAAGCCAGCATTTCTTTGTTATTTGCTTGGTTTGCAGTTTGTTTCTAATTCAGAGAGATTAAAGTCAGTGTTCTCTCATGTGTCTCTTTGGAGCATTTCAGCCTAATCATGTGCTGCCCTAGAAAGCGGGAAGAAACAGACCCTGAAAAACACACGTTGTTAAAGCTCAGTGTGATTCTTCTTTCCAACTTAAATCTCGATCACTCAATTCCCCTGAATTGAAGTTTCTAAAGCACTGTGGGAAACTTTTATGAAAATCATTGTGAAAGGTGAGTCTTACACAAAGTTGATAGTAAATCTGTTGAAATACTCTAGTTCTTTAGTATTATCTTTGTTATACAGTATACTTGTTATGGATTGATTTGTGTCTTCCAAAAATATATGCTGTAAATCTTAACCCTATACCTGTGGCTATAATCCTGTTTAGAAATGGGTTTTCTTTGTTATGTTAATGAGGCAATATTAGTGTGGGGTGAGTCCTAAATTAATCTCTTCTGAGATATAAAAGAGCAGATTAAGCAAGAAAGCACAAACAGAGGGGAAAATAGATGCCATATAATCACCAACAAACTCATGAAAAGA